GGCTCACCGGAGGCTGTCCTTTTTAACGACGCCGCTTACGACGCATATTTCACGGCGTGTTTCCCGCCCGCCATCGTCACGCGCAAACAACATCATCAAAAACAACAACATCACTTTTGCCCCCTTGTTTTTCCCTTTTTTTCACATCTCTTCTCTTGGTTATTTCCATTTTCCTCTCCACTGACAAAAGGGAAAAACATCACTAAAGAAAATAACAATATTTCGCTAAAATGATATAGTTCTTTGTTTACTTTTTTTTCAAGCAGGAGCAGGGAACGTACCTTATTGTAGAGGAGACACGTTTTCCCTCCACGCTTAATCGCCGTCATGCGGTGTCGGGCAAACGTTGGACCTCAAAGACACATTCTGCGCGACCTGGAAATATAAAGAGAAAAAGAACGTCACACATTTTTACCGTCAGAGCCACGACGAGGATGAGGATGGGGAGAGAGTGGGGGGTGAGGAGGGTGGGAAAGGCGTAGTGACACACATTGCGGGGCTGGGTGGGCCAACATTTCGCTCTGTCGCTCTGGCTCGCTCTCTGCAAAAAGTCCAACGTTAATATTATCGTCTTAGCAGATTCCGGGTTGCCATCGTGTTGGCGGGCTTGACTGCACGCCTCTCTCTCTCTCTCTCTCTCTCTCTCTCTCTCTGCCTCACTTTTGTGTGCAATGGGAAGAAGGACGAGAAGGCTTATAAAAACTCCATGTAGGCCTGCTGCGCTGCGTGCCGCGCTCCTCTAACACAAACACGAGCCCGCCGCTCCGCCGCTCAAACCTTTGCAGGTAGCAGGTGTACTCCTAGTGCGTGAGCAGCAGCAGCGCGCTCCCCTCCGCGCGGGAGAGCGAGAGAAATGCACACAGAAGCACGCCGAGGGGGAGAGAGAGTGAGATGGACGTTTACTGCTGGCGTTAAACCCCCGGCGCTGGTGCGTTGGAATGAGGGAGGGAGAAGATCAGCCGGACTGCTCTACCCCCCCCCCCTTCCCCCTTGGCCCAGATCTCTCGATGCCAGCGCGGCCTGGACACTACGCGCGAACTTGGTGCATTGGCATAAATACAGGGAATGACAACACCACACCAGAAGGGGGCGAGGTGAGCCATCCTGGCTGGGCGTAAACCAACAACGCGACGAAAGTGTTATGGGGACAGAGAGGGAGGGAGAGAGAGAGATAGGGGGCTGCGGCAGCGAACGAGCAAGAGGGAGGGGGAGGGGCAAGAGAGCGGCAGAGACAGAGGCAGACAGAGAGTGGGGAAAGATGTAAAGGAGGAGAAAGAGGTGCGCGCGCCACCGGGTCCCGCGGCAAGACCGCGAGGCAAAGCCAGAGACAAATGGAGGGCTGCTTATCACAGCCTCGAGGCGTGAGTTGGGGCGGGGCGGGGCGGGGCGGGGTGGCCGGGTACCACTCGAGGCTGCACTGCTTGGCTCGCCGCCACCCGGGCCAAGCAGTGCGGCTGACATGTTTGTCCGAGCCAGCCTGGTGGCGGTGAGCAGCCTGCCCTGTGTCATCACTTGTTTTCTATGACGATGAAATACGAGCCTCGCGCGGACACCCCCCCGTGAGTGTGTGTGTGTGTGTGTGTGTGTGTGTGTGAAGGGGGAGGACGGAAGAGTAGAGGGCAGGGACGGAGAGGGAGACGAGGACGGCAACACATATAGCGGCGGGGCTACACGGAACCGAGATATTTTCAGAAACTTTTGATGTCGCGAGAAATCAAAAGAGGGCTCGAGAACAAATGATGGAGAACAGATAATAAGTAAAAGTCGGCGTAAGCCGCGTCCCTGTTAGGACCAATCCCCGATCTATCTACGGCTCTGATCAAGAGTGAGGACCAATGGGGTCGCAGCTGCGCTTGGGGGGATTGAGGCGAATTCAGATGTCTTGACCTTCAACTGTCAACGACTGAGGGCCTATTGTAAATGCTACATGGGTATCGCCATATTTTAGGGTCACTTTTTAGGCGGAGGATTAAAACAGCCAAGTCAAAAAATCAAATGCAATTAACCCTTTAAGTCACGGAAAACTTTCCGATAATTATTTATGTTTTTTATGGTCTAGTTCGACTATTTGGCACCCAAAGAACTCATTTTTGCCAGTCCGGAGGTTGTGCGATGCTTGGTTTGGCGTAAATCGAACGTTGCTTCCATACAACAAAATACTTCAGGGGTAAAAACCGGTCGTTTTTTCTTTCTTACTTTTTAAAGTTTTTATACATTAGGAACTTGAGTTTTGCTGTAAAAATATCGGACACAAAGTAGGAAAGCCGTAAGACTTCATTCAAACCCCAAAATTTAGCAAAAACATCAAAAAATAGGCCAAAAACGTGACATCTCTGAATAATAGGGACTTTTCGCCACCCCAAACGTCAGATATTTCATTATTTAGGGCTGGGGGTTTATGTAAAAAGGTTTATTGTACCCTGTCATGAAATCGAACCCTAACATATCTCAAAGGTATAGCCATGACACCTCAAAAATGTGAACGTTGTTTGGGTACAACAAGTGACGTTAGGGCCAATCAAATTACCGAAAAAGATCATTTCACATATGTCAAGCACTTGATGCCTGAAACACGATATAAACTACCCTACATCATAGTATATGTGCCCCGCAACCTTAATTTACTTCAAATATGTGTTTTTAGTGTGAAAATGAACATAGAATCAAGGAGAAAATTCGAACGTTGTATACATACAACATTGTGACTTTAGGGTAGTATGAAATGTGTGGATATCAACTGAATGGAGCATATTAACTGTTATGAACGCAAGCTCACCAGAATGGACGCCTAGTAGGTAGGCAACATTTGGAGCTGCATGCTTGCGTGTATCGCGGGCTGGCCTATGATAGTCTTGCAGCACTGACTCCTACACGTAGTTACGGTTTCTTTTGGTGAAGAAAATGCTAGATGGCAAATTAATTCAAAAGCAAGTGGTTCGAATAGAATTTCCAAGAAATGAATGACAGCCCCAAACTAGATATGGATTTGAAGCGACTGGAGAGATCGAACTCTAACCAATAGTCACGATGTTGTACCGCTACAACGTTCGAAATCTCACGATAATGAGACTAGTAGGTGCCTTTTAAACTAAATATCATTCTTAAATCACTAACAGGTAAAGTGTTAAGTAGCCTCAACAGGCCCAGACCCGAAAAGCTTTGCCGTTCGGCTTGAAACTCAGGCCAAAGTTCCGAAAAAGTACAAAGAATCTAGCTCAGTGGCACCGAGGGCATGTGAGCCAAATATTACACAATTTGCAAAACTACTTACTTTTTGAACTATTTTAGGGTCCGAAACTAACAAACATCAAGTCCTACCAGATAAAAATCTCGTAGAACGAGTCTCACACACCTTCAGCTCGGCGCCAAAAAGTCACTACTACTACCTCACATGTTGTATGTATACCACAATCGTTGTATCTTGCGACCCCAGTGGTGCCACAAGTGTCTCACCAAGGCGGTTGACGTCTGATCGCGTTCAGTAAACCTTAAAGAAGGTTTTCACGCCTAGAGTCGATCAAAGCAGTGCATATACGGGCGCAAATAACCGATAATCTACAGGCGCGCACACTACCTCACGGAAATACGTTTTTGGAGCTATGCTGGCAGCAGTGTACGCATCCGAAAAGCTTCGCGGGAGGCTTCAAATGTTGCGCGGCAAAAGTAGAAAGTCTTAAAAGTCCAAAAAGTCACTTGGGAGCCAAAATAGCTCTTCTAGGCCAAATTTTACTGAACGTTGTCTGGGTACTACAAATGACTTAAAGGGTTAAAAAAATAGGCTAAATATCTTGGGCATAAAATTTTAAGTGAAAACAGCAGTTGAGCTGTGCGATGCAACTTTGAGCTCGGCTCTGGACCGTCGGATACAGAGCTCTATTGGACTGGGGTGGGCACCTAGCCCCTCGTAAGGTAAGTGGGGGTAAGAGGAGGGGGAGGCAAAGGACCGGGGAGCAGCTGGGGAGGGAGGGCTGAGGGAGAAGTAGGCCGCGGAGAGGGGGAGGGGGGAAGCCCAAGGGAGAAATGAGTTGAAAAATGTCGGCAAACTTTGTTCCGCGGAGGTCGTGTGGGAGGGGGTGGAATGGTGGAGGAGAAGGGGAAGTGGTAGACTAGTGTGCAGCATCGCAGTTCGCGAGGTCCACGGCCTGGGGGTGGGAGATGACAAGGGGCATGCCGTGTACGTACACACTAAATGATAAAAGAAACTTTTGATCTATATAAACAATGTAATGTTTCGTTAAGGAACCTTGATTCTCTGTGATGGCTAGTTGACATGACAGTGAAGAGTCGATTACTCCTGGGTCGAAAGCTCCTGGGTCGCACCCTTGTTGAGGCTCTGTCTACACGTGTCTGTCTCTCTCTTTCACACACACACACACACACACACACACACACAACGCCCGCGCGCGATTTGAACATGAAAGGAAGTTGTTTCCTCCGTGTCCTTCCTCTCCTTCCCCCTTTCCCGGAGGAGGGAGGGGGAATCTGCTGGATCACGTTCGCAGCAAGAACTGATTGGCGGGCCAGGCCGGATGAAAAGGGGGGAAGGGGAGGGGAACGGGGAGCCTCCACACGCGGCCCGCGCGCCAAGTTGTGTGTGAACATCAAACGCAGCACAATCGGATGTGAACAAAACGGCATGGGGATGGCAATGAGGACAGTAAAACGGGGAGCGGGAGCAGAGCGTGCAAAAGGACAGGTGAGATCTTGGTGGTGCAGGTGCGGGCGGACGCGCGAATTCAGCTCAAAGAGCAACGAGCAGCAGGTAGAAACAACAGACGCTGGGACTGCTTTGCACCTTAGAAGGGGTACTGAGGAATTTTAAGAGTTTACTTTGCCTTTGTATCCAAGTTCCTCTGGCTGTTTTGGCGCATACGTAAAGCGGTA